CACCCACCTTGATCTTAGATCTCCCAGCCTCCAGAACTGTGAGAAAATAAACGTCCATGATTTATACATTTCCCAGTCTGTAGTATTTTGTTACAGCAGCAGGAATAGACTAAGACAGATTTTAATATGTGATTTTTATCTAATCTTCAAATATTCTAGTAAGGAAGATAGGGCTTTTAGGTCGCCATTTTACTCACGAGGAAACTGAGGCTCATAGAGGTTAAGCCACTTGCCCAAAGTAACTTGTCAGAACCATGCTGGGTTCAGCCCAGCTCCCTCTCTGGGACAGCACATGTATCCTCAGAGGCCTATAGCCGCCACTCCCTCCTCTCAGTGCCCTGTAGGCTATACACAAAGCAGGGAGTCAATGCAGAATAATGGAGATGGGATGATTAATTGAGGTGAGGGTGGGTGTAGCAAGAGGTCCCAGGTCTTGTGCTTGGCATGAACTTTCTGGTTCTGCCTCTGCTAATGTGTGTTACAGAAAGCCAAGCTGACACTGGCATCACCTGCGCTGAGTCTCTGTGTCACGAGGTAGTCATGGAAACTCATTCCCTTCCCAAGCTAATGAGGAGACAATTAGGTAGAAAGGAAGAATTGAGTTAATTGCCTGTCATCCCCTCTCTGCTCTCTGTGTATTGATTCAAATTAAGCTTTTTCAGTTTTCTAGTGTCAGCAGATACCAATGATCAGAGCACAGCCCTGGGAGCCAGGACCTCCAGGAAACAGCCAGTTCTGCATGAATCCCTGGCCTTTCCTGCCTCTTTGTTTAGTTCTGATCCAAGCATTCAGGAAAACAAATCTCTTTGCCTGACCTCCCTTGGCTTCTGACCGGAAGTCTCTGAACTGACTTCATTTTAACCATCTCTGACTCCACATCCATTCAACTAGTCATTCCTCTTCTTTTAGAGAAAAAGGGAGGAATTCAAATTAAATTCTACATTTGTGGAATGTAGCTCAGAGAGAGGTAGTTAAATAAGTGAGTGATGGATGCTTTGTGGTGTGTACTGTCCACATGGAGGGTAGAGGAGGCAAGACCTAAAGGTCATTTGTGAGTAGGGTCCCCACAGGCTCAGCTGGCACTTGAACAGACCTGGAAAAGATCTGCCAAGATCACACCCTTTCCTTTCCTGTCCTTTCCCTAGGGTCTTCTTCTACAGCCAGATGGAATTATTTGAAATTCCTTGCATGGTCCTTGCTTCTACTTATCTTTAGCTCATCAGAGGTCTGCTCTGCCTAGAATGCCTTTCCTACTTTTTTATTATGTCTCAGTTCTGACAATACTTGTCCAAGAAGCATTCTCAAAGCGGAATATGGGACTTCCAAATTCATGAATTTCAAGAATTCATGGGTTTCCAAACACCACGAATTCTCTCTTTTATAGACAACAAGCAGTTCATCACTGTATACCTAGATTCTACTATGGGCTGGAAGCTTCTGGGGGCAGGAATCATGTCTTCCTTTGTTTGAGACAGAGTTTCACTTGTTGCCCAGGCTGGAGTGCAATGTTGTAACCTCGGCTTACTGCAACATCCACCTACTGGGTTCTAGTGATTCTCTTGCTTCATCCTCTGGAGTAGCTGGGATTACAGGCATTTGTAACCATGCCCTGCTAATTTTTGTATTTTTAGTAGAGATGGGGTTTCACCATGTTGGCCAGGCTGGTCTTGAACTCCTGACCTCAGGTGATCTGCCTGCCTCGGCCTCCCAAAGTGCTGGGATTACAGGTGTGAGTCACCATGCCCGGCCAACCATGTCTTCTCTGATGATATTTCCCGGTACTAAGCACAATGGCTGACATGTAGAAGGTGATTAATCAATATTTATCGAATAGGTGATTGATTTAGTAAATCAGTAATGGATAGATTATTAGAGGATTGTGTCCTGGAAGAAGAAAATATTTATGTAAGGTCTAGAGTTGAATGTTGGATTTTCATGCTATCTGCATTTTACCCAAATAGTGTGGGCAACTGTGAGACTTCTTTGGGATCCAGAATAGATCTGCCCCAAGAATTCTGCTCTGCTTCATTCAGGGCAGCCTCTCTCCTGGGACTTTTGGCCATGCTGGCTCTGAAGGTAATGAGCTCTGAGACTAGGTGTGTGGGTTCTTGGTGGGGACTGTAGAGGCGGAGGAGGTAGAATGAGGAGTCTCAGGATAAAGAGGCTGAAGTGCTAGCTTGGGAGATTTGTTTGGGATTCCTGAAGGAAGGTCTTCCTGGATCAGAAGAAAATGCTGGGGAAAATGATGCTGTCTAGAATTAGGGTTAATAGACACTATCTAGAAAAGAGGTGGCTCTCAGTTTAATGGTGGAGGTGACAATATAACTCACTTTGTATCTACATGAAGTTTACAGTTTCTTGGGGCCCTTAGGAGTACAGCAAAATAGAAGTAGTATAGAACTAGGATTCAGCACATTTGAGTGCCAGTCTGTCATTAACCAGCGAGGGGACAACACTTCTGAGCCTCAGTTCCCTTTTCCGTAAATGAAGGACAGGGCAGACCCAAATATGCTCTAAAAACTGTTCCATGATTCTATAAAAACAGATGAGTTTCCTATGCTACCACTTTAGAAACTGAAGTGGCAGGAAAGTAAATTAATGTCTTGGGTTGGGTTCTTAGGAACATTGGGGGTGCAAGTGGATGGGGTAGGATGAGGCTCCCGCAGGGATCTTTGTTCCATATTTTTCTTCCCACCTCTTCCTCCCCTCCCCATTATCTCTCTTGTGGGAGGCAATGTACTGTAGTGGCAAATTGCCTGGACTTGGAAATCAGAGATACATTTTAATCCATGCCCTGCCATTTATTGACTATATGTGACCTGGGGCAAATTTCTTAACCTCCCTCTGCTTCAGTTTCCTCATCTATAAAATGGAGTTTATCTTCTTGAAGACCATGATAAGGGTTGAATACTTGATGTGAAAAAAAGATACAGGAGGTTTATTATTATTCTTCCTCACAAATATGCTAATACTGATGTTGTTCTTTTTTTTTGAGACAGATCTTACTCCGTTGTTCAGGCCAGAGTACAGTTGTGCAATCATGGGTCACGGTAGCCTTGATCTACTAGATTCAAGCCTCCTGCCTCAGCCTTCCAAGTAGCTAGGACCACAGGTGGATGCCACCATGTCCAGCTAATTTTTTTTTTTTTTTGCTAGAGATTGCATCTTGCCATCTCGTCCAGGCTGGTCTCAAACTCCTAGGCTCAAACAATGCTCCTGCCTTGGCCTCCTGAAGTGCTGGGGTTACAGGCATAAACCACTATGCCCAGTCTGTTGTTTATGTTTCTGCCTTTAGGACTCTGGTTTTGACATGGAATTCTATGATATTTTACTCCACCATCTCATCCATTTTCTGTTCATTTAGCATGGAAAAACCTGGAAATCATCTGTTTTTACTTTTGCAGATTTTTATTGTCTCCAGGCTCAGCTCAGCTTGCACCATAAACCTGGATGAACTGGTGGAACAAGATACGAGAATTAATGGGCAGACAGAATTTTCCCACCAAGTTACAATATAAACATTATTATAGGAGTAATAATACATATATTATTATAGAAATTTTTTAAATGGTGGCATGGGCTGGGCACGGTGGCTCAAACCCGTAATCCCAGCACTTTGGGAGGCCAAGACAGGTAGGTCACATGAAGTCAGGAGTTCAAGACCAGCCTGGCCAACATGATGAAACCCTGTCTCCACTAAAAATACAAAAAAAATTAGCTGAGTGTGGTGGTGGGTGCCTGTAATCCCAGCTACTTGGGAGGCTGAGGCAGGAGAATTGCTTGAACCCAGGTGGTGGAGGTTGCAGTGAGCCGAGATTGCGCCATTGCACTCCAGCCTGGGCAGTAAGAGCAAAACTCCGTCTTGGAAAAAAATAAATTGCTGACATTAAAAGCATTTAGGAGTAACAGGTAACCAACTCACGGGGAGTGTATGTATTTCCTTATATATTTAAGGGTAAGAGGAATATAAGTGGGGGAAGGGAGGCCTTGGAATCCTTGGAAAAGTCTTTGTGCACTCTGCACATACTACTTAGTGAGTGTCAGCGTCCGAAAACACAGTCACGCGTTGTTAACTACAGGGATACGTTCTGAGAAATGAATCATTAGGTGATCTCATTGTTGTATAAACATCATAGAATGAACTTACACAAACCTAGATCATATAGCCCAAGTAACTGTGTCACAATTGCCTACTATATTCAGTACAGTTACATGCTGTCTGGGTTTGTAGCCTAGGAGCAATAGACTAGACCACACAGCCTAAGTGCACCTAGGCAATTGCAACACAATGGGAAGTATTTATATAACTTACGTAGAAAAGATAGAGTAAAAATACTATATAAAAGACAAAAAATGGTGCACTTATATAGGGCTCATCAGAAATGGAGCTTGCAGACTGGCAGCTGAGTTGAGCTATAAGACTGGGTGAGTCAGTGGGTGGAGGGGTGCGTGGAGGGGAAGGCCTGGGATATGACTTTATCAACACAGTACTCTCGGGCTACACTAAATTTATTAAAATTTTTTTCTTTCTTCAATGATAAATTAATCGTGGTTTACTTCCCCCTTTTTACCTTATAAACTTAAAAAGTTTTTTTGATGTTTTTGACTCTTTTGTAATAACACTTAGCTTAAAACACAAAACACACTGGATAGCTGGACAAGAATATTTTCTTTCCTTATATACTTACGCTATGTATGTTTTCTATTTTTAAAATTATTTTTGCTTTTCAAACTACTTTGTTAAAAATTAAGACATAAACACACACATTAGCTTAGTCCTAAACAGGGTCAGAATCATCAATGTCCCTGTCTCCCGCCTCCACACCTTGTCCCACTAGGTCTTCAGGGGCAATAACACACAGGGAACTGTCATCTCCTGTAACAGTGCCTTCTTCTGGAATACCTCCTGAAGGACCTGCCTGAGGCTGTTTTATAATTAACTTTTTAAAAATAAGTAGAAGTACACTCTAAAATAATGGTGAAAAGTTTAGTATAGTAAATACATAAACCAGTAACACAGTCATTTATTATTATTAATATTAAGTATTATGTAATGTACACAATTGTATGCTTTTATATGACTGGCAGCATAATTTTGTTTATACCAGCATCACCACAAACATGTAAGTAATGCACTGAGCTATGATGTTGCAACAACTATGACGTTAAGCGATAGGAATTCTTCAGCTCCGTTATTATCTTGTGAGACCACCGTTGTGTATGTGGTCCACTGCTGCCCAAGATGTCATGATGTGGTCCACTATGTGGGGTCCCTGTTAAGGAGAAATGAAGATGCTCTGGGTAGGAAAATTTGGTAGTGATATGAAACACATATCTAAGGAATGTTCTGAACCATGAGGTTCAACAGTGAAACTACAATGGGATGTGTCATTCCGTCTTCAAATAATATCCCCATCTTGAATGGCTCTGGAAATTGAGAGTCTGAGATTGCCTTCAGACAGTAAAGGAATGGAATCAAAATGTCTTCTCAGCTAAAGCTAAAATACAAGGGTAGCAAAGTTTGAAATGAAGTCCCCGTCCCAATGTGGGACAGTGTTTCTCTTGGGGTGAGAAATTCACCTCACCGAATGTAGCCCATCAGATTCTGCAGAGGTAGACGCACTGGCCTTGCCATTCCTATTTCCAGGTACAGTGAAGGAAAGAAATGACCAAGAGGAATGGGCCCGTGAAAGTACAAGGTTAGCCTGACAGTTAATTAGAGGTTTGAAGGAAGACAGACTGGCTGTTCTATGTGGTTTACTGGCTGGTTTCAAGGATCCCTGCAAGTTGAGAATGATGAGATCTGTTCATTTTTCCTTTAGTGTAATGAATCATGCCTTCAACGACAATTTTGTGTGAGCCATGATTTATCAGCTTCTTTCTGAATTATTGCTTATCACTGGGGGCTCCCCAGTCATTTGAAGATTGTCAGAATGAAGTCAGATTTTAGCTGGGGAGGTAAAATGTTCTGTTTTGGAGGACACATTTGGTTATACCTGACAAGCAGGGACATCCTGGTTCCAGGAATCTTCTTCCTACCACAGGCCGGAGGACACTGCACAGTCTTTCTGAGTGGGCCAACAGCCTGGCAGCCAGACATAGGTACAAGGAGTGTTCCCTCCTCTGCTTCCTCAGCAAGACAGGATCTTGAGGAAGGCTTTCCGGAACTCGATATTGAAGGTGGTATAGATCACGGGGTTGAGGGCGCTATTCACATAGCCCAGCCATGTCGTGGCACTGTAAAGCTCTGGGGACACGTGGCATGTCTGGCAGTGGGTATTGAGAATATGGGTCAAAAAGAAGGGCAGCCAGCAGACAATGAAGGCCCCTAAGTTGCCAAAGAAGAGAGAAACTGGGTAAGGGATTTGCTTACGCCTTTTGTTATAACATGAGAACGACTCACAGTTGTCTACTTAATGCCAGCCACTAAGCTGGAAGTTTTACATACACGCTTACTTTTTTTTAATAACAACCTTAGGAAGTAGGTGTGATTAGCCAGACTTTTTTAGGTGAGAAAACTGCATGCTAATGTCTTTGATTCACTTTGGCCTTTGTTACTAAATCAGTTTTCTAGTGTGGTCGCTAGGTAGTTCTTTACTAATCTGTATTTTCTTTTTCAATTCAATTCAGACATTTATTTAATGTCAACCCAAGCAAGACATGATCCTAGGCACTGATAGGGATGAAGACCTTAAAGATGGCACTGACACAGTTCCTGCCACTGAGGAGATTACAGCTAGGAATTCTAGTAAAGTCCCTGATATAGGAGAGAGTTGGGATTGTCAGTGACACTGAGCAGGATGAACTGCTTTCACTAACTCTACAGCATACCTATAATTTATTAATTTTTAATTTCTTTATTTAAATAAAGTTTACGCTGATCATGGTGGCTCATGCCTGTAATTCCAGCACTTTGGGAGGCCAAGGTGGGTGGGTCACCTGAGGTCAGGAGTTCAAGACCAGCCTGACCAATATGGTGAAACCCTGTCTCTACTAAAAAGACAAAAATTAGCTGGGCGTGGTGGTGCATGCCTGTAATCCCAGCTACTTGAGAGGCTGCTAAAGTAAGAGAATTGCTTGAACCTGGGAGGCAGAGGTTGCAGTGAGCCGAGATCATGCCATTGCCCTTCAGCCTGAGTGACAGAATGAGACTCTGTCTCAAAAAATTAATAAATAAACAAAGTTTATATTTTATTACTATAAAAATTAGCCCAGATTCTGGCACGGTGTGGTGGCTCACGCCTATAATGCCAGTGCTTTGGGAGGCTGAGATGGGAGGATTGCTTGATGCCATGAGTTTGAGACCAGCTTGGGCAACATAATGAGACCCTGTCACTACAAAAAACAAATAAAAATTTAAGAATTAGCTGGCCTTGGAGGCACACAGCTATAGTTCTAGCTACTTGGGAGGCTCGGGCAGGAGGATTGCTTGAGCCCAGGAGTTCAAGGCTGTGGTGAGCTATGATTGTGCTACTGCACTTGAGCCTAGGCAATGGAGTCAGACCGCGTCTCAAAACAAAACCAAAACAAAAAAAAAAAAACCCAAAAACCAAACATCTTTGATTGTATGCATTATGGAAAGCTTGGTAAATACAGAGAAGTAGGGAAAAAAAGGAATAAGCACCCACCACTTAAAGCTAATCACTTTTGGTATCTTGGTGATTTCTTTTTAGTCTTTTTTACTTTGTATTTAAAATAATCTAGATTTTATCATACCATATCACAATAGTGCTTTGCATTCCTATCTTTATCATGTAATATTTAAAAATAATTCAGAATTTATTAAATATCTAATATGTACCAGATAGTTTTATTGAATCAATATCTTATTTGTTGTTTGATTTATGTGTTATAGCTCCATATAGTGGACAGCAAAATACAGCTTAGTTAAATGACTTGTTCAGCTTCATAAATTTCAGCCTAGGTCTTTTGAATTTCCACCAGAGTTAGTATTTCTACACAAATACTTTTCAATTATACTGTAAACATTTGATAAATATTACTGTCATTGAATTTCCAATTTCTGTCAAATGTGGCTACCTTAGCACTTTCTGCCAGCTTCACTTAAAACACAACCTAACCCAGCCCAACCCAGTGCAAGTCAACTCAAACTTACCAAGCACAATGGCCACCATCTGGGTTGCCTTCTTCTCCCGAAGTGGCACTCCCCGAGGTTGCAGGGGTCCCAGCTTCAAAGATGTTGACAATCTGCCATTGCTGAGTTTTCGAACCTCTAAGCTGAGCTTGGGCGCTATGGTGGGACTCAGGGAGTTTTGAGTCCTCTCCTCTCTTTTCAACTCTTCTCCTCTTTCTTGGAAGCCTGGTCCACCCAAAGCAGTGTCTTGGCAGATGCTGTAATAGCGCTTCAGCTCCAGATGTGCCCGGTCAGGAGAGAGGGTCTGCAGGTGCGACAAGAGGGGATCCTGACATTTCTGGGAATATTGTTTATCTTCTGAATGTTCCTGAAAGGGCAAGAGAATTCAAAGAAGAGGGGAACATAATTGTGGGAAACCTACTAAGGAAACATCTGAGGGATGGTAGGACCATGGGAAGTTAAGGAAAATAAAATTTGCTTTAGACTTTACAAATAAAAAGCACCCATCATATTATCAGAGTGAACAGGCAACCTACAGAATGGGAGAAAATTTTTGCAATCTATCCATCTGACAAAGGTCTAATATCCAGAATCTACGAGGAACTTAAACAAATTTACAAGGAAAAAAAACAGGCCCATCAAAAAGTAGGTGAAGGATATGAACAGACATTTCTCAAAAGAAGACATTTATGCAGCCAACAAACATATGAAAAAAAGCTCATCATCACTGGTCATTAGAGAAATGCAAATCCAAACCACAATGAGATACCATCTCACACCAGTTAGAATGGCGATCATTAAAAAGTCTGGAAACAACAGACTAGAAACATCCTGCTGGTGAGGATGCCGAAAAATAGGAACGCTTTCACACTATTGGGGGGAGTGTAAATTAGTTCAACCATTGTGGAAGACAGGGTGGTGATTTCTCAAAGATCTAGAACCAGAAGTACCATTTGACCCAGCAATCCCATTACTGGGTATATACCCAGAGAATTAGAAATCATTCTACTATAAAGATACATGTGCATGTATGTTTATTGCAGCACTATGTACAATAGCAAAGACTTGGAACCAACCCAAATGCCCATCAGTGATAGACTGGATAAAGAAAATGTGGCACATATACACCATGGAATACTATGCAGCCATAAAAGAGAATGAGTTCATGTCCTTTGCAGAGACATGGATGAAGCTGGAAGCCATCATCCTGAGCAAACTAATACAGGACAGAAAACCAAACACCACATGTTCTCACTCATAAGTGGGAGCTGAACAATGAGAACACATGGACACAGGGAGGGGAGCATCACACACTGGTGACTGTCAGGGGGTTGGGGGCAAGGGGAGGGATAGCATTAGGGCAAACACCTAATGCATGTGGGGCTTAAAACCTAGATGATAGGTTGATAGGTTCAGCAAACCACCATGGCACATGTATACCTGTGTAACAAACCTGCACTTTCAGCACATATATCCCAGAACTTAAAGTAAAATAAACAATTAAATAAATAAATCAGGACGCACCACATAGAACATTTGATGATCACAACAACCCTTTGAGCAGGGTAGCATAGAATTGTAGTCTGGCCTTTTTGAGTTAGAATGACCAGGTGATACACAGAAACACATTAAATGACACCACTATGACATGAGCCCCAAAATGTGGAGTGTGGGAAACTCCACAAGACAAATTACTCATTTTTTTCAACAAATAAATTTTAACAACATGACAGTACTTACCAGTTGCAAAATATGTGCCTTATTTGAATTTTGATTCAAACAAACCAACTGTAAATAAAATTTACAAGACAATTGGGGAAATCTGAACATCAATTGGATATTTAATGATATTAGAGAAATATTATTAATTTTTTAGCATGATGTGGTATTGTGGTTACAGTTGGTATTCTTTAGAGGATCTTGTAGAAATATTTTGGGTTGAAATAATATGGTGTTTAGGATTTGCCTCATAGCAATCCAGTGGGGATGTGTGAATGTAGGTTGGATTATAGATGAAATAAGATTGGCCACAAGTTGATCACGACTAAGGCTGCCTGATGGCGACTATGGCGGTTGTTATATTTGTCTTTCTGCTTTTTCATTTTTGAAAACTTCCATAATAGAAAGTTAAAAAAAAAAAAAAAAAAGAAAACCCAGGATTTTTTCTTCTCAGCTTTCTTACTTAGTAGATGTATCTTTAGGCAAGTTAATTTAGTATCTCTGAGCTTCATTTGTAAAACAGAAAAGAAATAAGGAGAAATGGGTTTGGAATGAGTAGCTTCTGAGAATGGAAAACTGAAATATGTGAATTTTTCTGGTAGGGAGAGGGAGATGTGTGTGTCCCTAACATGAACTTCTTTTCATGTTTGAAGAATCAGACCCTTGTGTCAGCCTTGAACAGGAGGCAAAACTCAACTCCCCAACTCCCATTACTGATGCCATAAAAGCCAGATACTCACTTCACACCTCCATCCCCATGCAGCTAAGAGCTCAGGCACATGCACCAAGCCCAGTCAACTGCAGATTCATACCTGGAACTTGCGAAGCAGGGAGACTTCAGAACTCCATTAGTAGTGGTGATATTCAATGTCCAGTGTCCTAGGTCTTCAGACCAGATTATTTCTTAGGCATGAATAGCATCTTTCTGAAGCTGTTTTTCAGCCTTCTCATTGAGCCTGTGAGCCACCTGACAGCTTTCCAGTAACTTTGTTTTCTACATAAGTTAGTCAGTGTCAGCAGTCAAAACCCCTCACTTTAGTTTTCTTAATTCAAGGAAGCAGTCTTCTAGACACACAGAGGTGGCACATTGTACATACTCAGAATGAATGAATGAATGCAAGGGGTCTTCAGGATGATTTAGTGTTATTTATTTATTTATTTATTTATTTATTTATTTATTATTTTTAGCAGAGATGATGTTTCTCTATGTTGGCTAGACTGGTTTTGAACACCTGGGCTCAAATGATCCTCCTGTCTTGGCCTCCCAAAGGGTTGGGATTACAGGTGTGAGCCACCACACCCAGCCAATTTAGGTTTTTTTTTTTGAAAGAGTCTCACTTGTCACCCAGACTGCAGTGCAGTGGCATGATCTCTGCCCATTGCAATCTCCACCTCCCAGGTTCAGGCAATTTTCCTGCCTCAGCCTCCTGAGTAGCTGGGATTACAGATGCCCACCACCATGTCCAGCTAATTTTTGTATTTTTAGTAGAGATGGGGTTTCACTATTTTGGCCAGGCTGATCTCAAACTCCTGACCTCAAGTGACCTGCCCAGCTCAGCCTCCCATAGTGCTGGGATTACAAGGATGAGCCACCATACTTGGCCTAGGGTTTTTTAAAAAACTGTGCTCCACAGAGGCATTCTTAGGAATTCTGGAATAATACACATTCTTTCTTTAAGATTTTAAATTCATATATAATAATAGTACATATTTATGGGGTAAATGCAATATTTCAATGCATGCACACAACGTGAAATTATCATCAGGCTAGTCATCACTTCAAATAATGATCATTTCTTTGTGTTGGGAACATTTCAAATCTTTTCTTCTAGGCATTCTGAAATACACAATAAACTGCTGTTAAGTATAGTCACCCTACTGTACAATTAGATGCTAGAATTTTTTCCTTGTATATTTGTACCTATGAGTCTACCTCTCTTCCTTGCCCCCTCCCCATCTCCTTCCTAGCCTCTGGTTACCATGAATCTACTCTCTATTTTCACAATACCCACTTTTTAAGCTCCCATATTTGAGTGAGAACATGTGGTATTTGTCTTTCTATGTCTGGCTTATTTCACTTAACATGACTTCAAGTTAAGAGAATATATATTAAAATGTCTTGGCTTTTATTTTGATGGAATTTTCTAATAATTAAAATTAGCATATTTTGTTTTATTTACAACCAAGATTAAATTTATAATTAAACTGGGACCTACTGATCTTCTTAGAGTGACAATATTTGATTGTAATACATTATTTCTAAAACTAGGAGATAGGAAACAAATGATTGGGATTGCCTATGAAATCTCATATTTAGCTAGGTGTAGTGGATGAGATGAGAGGATTGCTTGAGCCCAAGAGTTCAAGGCTACAGTGAGCTGTGATCACACCACTGTACTCCAGCCTGGGGAACAGAGTGAGACTCTGTCTCAAAAAAAATCTCAGATTTGAAAACATTGATCTAGTATACCCTGTTTTCATTGTACAGATACGGAAATTCAGTCCTAGAGGAGAAAAATGATTTTTCCAAGATTATACATTGGTGAGTGTACTTTTCAGCTCTGTCTGCAAACCCTCATCGCTACTTCCATGACTGACATGAGGAAACACTGTACTCCTGTGGGTCTGGCTAGCAGAGCCCTCCACTCCCAGATGGCAGAACAGAATCTAATTCTTCACGCTGCTGGAAATGCCAGTCTCTTGAATCTCTGCTCTCTCTCTTGTGTTCAATATTTTTCCCCCTTTTGACCTTGAAGCCTCCTCAGACCTTGGATCAGCCACAGGGAAGTTTGAACTGCATAGCTATTATCATTTAAAGAACTTATCTCTATTTGCTACAGCAGGCCTGGGTAAAAAGTGGTTAACTATACTAAGATTGAACAAAGCTCAGACCTCTATTATTACAAATTTTTGAAGTTTTATTTCTAATGTGGAATTCATAGAAAGGAATACTGTTCTTATATTTAACGCCTCCAGACTCCATTCTGCACTCTGCTAGCTGGATGAGGGAGGGCTGGCTTGAACTGGAAAAACGAGGCTCATGGTAACCATGAAATTGTCTTGGTTTTTCCCACATTCAGGGGTAAATGTGGCACTTGAAATTCTCCTTTCTCTGCCTGGTTTTTGCTCTGCCGATGTGTGTTTCCTTGACGTCTGTTTCTGCTAATGCAGGTGGCCTTGGATGGCATTGTGGAAAGTCATTGGCTCCAATCACTAAGGTCAAGCCCAATAGTCATATGCTTTCTGAATATCATCTGATGAATTCTAGTCTGCAGCTTAAATTAGCAGAATTTCAGACCTTATCTTAAAGATAGATGTGTGAGAATCAAGGCAAGATTTCCTTCTGGGGTGAGCGTAGAATCAAGATAAGCCAGTGTTGTGGGAAAAGTTCTTTTATTCTTTTTCTGTGATCAAAGACATGGCCCATTTACCATTTTTCCTGTGGCATCTGATGGAAATCGGGCCCTGACTGAAAACTGCAGAATGGGGTACAGCTGCAGACAAGAAGATTAGGGTGGGTTGAAGGAGGAACAGTCAGTTGTGGGTCAAGCCATGCCATATGTAGCCATGTGACACAATCATATTTGAATGTAATATTTTCATATCCTCAGCCTTGGGTCTTGATCTCCTCTTTCATGAGGATTAATAGTCTTGTTTTACTCGAGCCTTGGGACTTCAGCTTAAGAATCTGACCTTCATTCATACTTTTAACATCATCAAAGACCTTAAGAGGTCATCAAAGATTATCTATGTCATCAGGCAAGGCACGGTGGCTTAAGCCTGTAATCCCAGCAGTTTGAGAGGTTGAGGTGGGCAGATCATTTGAGGCCAGGAGTTATAGACCATCCTAGCCAATGTGTCAAAACCCCACCTCTAATAAAATTTAGCTGGGTATGTTGGTGGACACCTGTACTCCCAGCTACTCAGGAGGCTGAGGCATGACAATCTCTAGAACCCAGGAGGCAGAAGCTGCAGCAAGCTGAGATTGTGCCACTGTACTCCAGTCTGAGTGACAGAGTGAGATTCTGTCTCAAAAAAAAAAAAAAAAAAAAAAAAAGAGAAAGATTCTAGGTCATCAAATAGTAACCTAGACACTCAAATTGGATCTGCCTTCAAGATGAAACTCAATCCTTACTCTGTCTATGGAGCCCTTTTCTGAGTGTATTAGTCTGTTTTCATGCTGCTTATAAAAGACATGCCTGAGACTGGGTAATTTATAAAGAAAAAGGGATTTAATGGATTCAGAGTTCCACGTGACTGGGGAGGCCTCACAATCATGGTGGAAGGTGAAAGGCATGTCTTACATGGCAGCAGACAAGAGAAAATTTGTGCAGGGAAACTCTCCCTCATAAAATTATCAGACCTCATGAGACTTATTCATTATCATGAGAACAGCACAGGAAAGACACACTCCCATCATTCAATTACCTCCCACTGGGTCCCTCCCATAACATGTGGGAATTGTGGGAGCTACAATTCAAGATGAGAATTGGGTGGGGACACAGCCAAACTGTATCACTGAGCATATAACCTCCATAGCACTTCATAACCTCCATAGCACTTCGTAACTGAGCGCTTAATTGTCTTCACCTCACATTTGGCAAACATCCCATTCAGCTCTGGGCTGTTCATTAACTTTTAGTGGAGTGGTGCTTTATTTGCTTGTCTAGATTCTAAGCTCCATGAAGGCAGAGGCTGTTTAATGTTAACCACTGTCCCTTCCCTAGTAGATTTCAAGTGATCAGTATATATTCATTCATGCTTCAAGTACATCATGGAAAACTATTATGTGCCAGGCACTAGGGTAAGTGGAATTTAAAACCCTAGCAATTGGAAGATCATTGCAGAGGCAATGACATTTCTTTTCAGAGCATAGAAAGATCCAATAAAATGCTTTATTAGCATCCTATCCCACCAGCTGGTTAGTTCCTTGGCACAGGGGCAGATCCAGTAAGGAAAAAAGGTTTTGATAGGTCCCAGTGATTATTTTTTTTATGTATTTATTTTTTTGAGACGGAGTTTCACTCTTGTTACCGATCTTGGCTCACCGCAACCTCTGCCTCCTGGGTTCAGGCAATTCTCCTGCCTCAGCCTCCTGAGTAGCTGGGATTACAGGCACGCGCTACCATGCCCAGCTAATTTTTTGTATTTTCAGTAGAGACGGGGTTTCACCGTGTTGACCAGGATGGTCTCGATCTCTTGACCTTGTGATCCACCTGCCTTGGCCTCCCAAAGGGCTGGGATTACAGGCGTGAGCCACCGCACCCGGCCCTGGGCCCCAGTGATTCTTGGGATGAGTGGTTTGGACAAAGTCAGTTCTGGGAACCCACCAGTAGTGCAAGGTACCAACTGCTGCACTTAAACTTCAAACCCTGTGGGACATCTGAACTGTTCCCCATTTGGGAAAAATGAAGCACTTTGAAGGGAAGCAGAACAAGCCCAGGAGCTATCCGATCATCTTGCCAGGTAAGGTAGGCTCCAGAGACAACTGTCAGTGTTCTCTCGAGATTGGATTTCCTACCTTCAAAGCACAGCCAGTATTAGCAGATTCCAAAATGGGTGTCAGATTTGTGTCTCTAATGTAGCTAAATGGCAAAATCGCGCACTGCTGGACACAAGGCTGGAAGGTCAGCAGATTGGGTGTTGTCTTCCCTCTACCCCATCCAGGGTGCTTACTTGTTGGGGGAAGCCAGGCCTGACACTGATGCACTGACTGTTCTGTCGAGTGAGGATCCGTTTTCGTCTCCTTTGTTTCAACACCACATAGATTCTGGCATAGACAAGCACAGTCACTCCAAAGGGCAGGTAGAAGGACACCACTGAAGAGTAGATGACAAAATCTGGGTTGGAAATGGAGCAGACAGTGGGGTCACCTGTGGATGAGAAGAGGAAAGACAAAGCAGTTAGCAAGTATCAGAACTCAGAAGGGAGCATAAAACATGGCCCCATGTCATGTGTGGTGCACAGTGGGTGGGGAGGATGCAGTCTCAGACACCTACACTGTCAGGTCCTTGACGGTAGAAGATCTAATTCACCTTTGCGTTTCTCACAGTTTGCTTTAAAAGAAAATATTTTAATAAAGATAGCATGTTGGAATAAAAGTGACTTCTATTATTCCTTAAAAAGCATACATTTTACAGGGCATTTTTTTTTAAGTCCTGGTCTTATTACACCTTAAAAAAATTACAGACCACCCAGGTGTGGTGGCTCACGCCTGTAATCCCAGTACTTTGGGAGGCCAAGGTGCGTGGATCATGAGGTCAGGAGGTCAAGACCATCCTGGCCAACATGTTGAAACCCCGTCTCTATTAAAAATACAAAAATTAGCCGGGCGCGGTGGCTCAAGCCTGTAATTCCAGCACTTTGGGAGGCTGAGGCGGGTGGATCACGAGGTCAAGAGATCGAGACCATCCTGGTCAACATGGTGAAACCCCGTCTCTACTAAAAATACAAAAAAACATTAGCTGGGCATGGTGGCGCGTGCCTGTAATCCCAGCTACTCAGGAGGCTGAGGCAGGAGAATTGCCTGAACCTGGGAGGCGGAGGTTGCGGTGAGCCGAGATCGCGCCATTGCACTCCAGCCTGGGTAACTAGAGCAAAACTCTGTCTCAAAAAAAAAAAAAAAAAAAAAAAAAAAAAAAAAAATTAGCCATGCGTGGTGGCACATGCCTGTGGTCCCAGCTACTTGAGAGACTGAGGCAGGAGAATCACTTCAGAAGATAGAGGTTGCAGTGAGCCAAGATCGTGCCACTGGACTCCAGGCTGGGCATCAGAAAGAGACTCGTCTCAAGAAAGAAAGAAGAAAGAAAGAAAGAAGGAAAGGAGAGAGAGAGAGAGAGAGAGAGAGAGAGAGAGAGAGAGAGAGAGAAAGAAAGAAAGAAAAAGAAAATATACCAACAATCATATACCACACACTGGAGGCTGCAATGATGAATGAGACACCATGTCTGCTCTCAAGGGAGCAAACAGTCTAGATAGACAGATGATCCCTTTCATAGGATGTCCTAAGTGTCACACAGATGCATGCAACCTGGGAGGCTGGAGAGAGCATTATAGGGCAACAGGGCAGAGGCTCCCAGAAGGGATACAGCCCCCAGAAAAGGGCCTGCTGGTGTGGAGGCATTTGAGAATTGTTGGAATGCAATCAAAGGAAGAAGCCTTGTTTGCTGAGAATGCCAGTTTTCCAATTCTGAATCTGGAATGGAGGGCAGGTGGTGGCTGAATGTAAGACAGGAATTTGATTTTTCAGGGAATCCCAGCACTGGCCAGAAGCGGGATGGGAAAAAGGCGGGTAATGATATTGTGACATGAAGAATGTGCATTTAGAAGTGCTTAGAATGTGCTTTATGTCCTGAAGTGTTCCTGCCACTTCTCCTTGGGAGGTCCCTGTGGCTTTGCCTAAGCAGATTTTGAGATTCCTCCGAGGCCCAAGATAGGGTCTGAAACTTGCCCCATCTTGAAAAAGAAAAGAAAAGCAAACCAATATCTGCCAGGCAATGAGCCAAGAGTTTTGTACACTTTATCCTACCTAATAATTATGGCAACATTATATGAGGCAGGTGCCATTACCGTCTCTCTTCTCAGATGAGCAGACTAAAGCTCAGAGAGGTTCAGTAAGTAGTCCAAGGCTGCACTTGAAAAATATGTTCCTGCAGCCAGTTTTATCCCCAAGCCAATGTTCTTTCTGTAATTTTAACTTCCCATCCCCCTTTACTATTGTGACTGTGGAACATTTGTGCTTCATCCAGCACTGTCAGCAACAACTGTTGGTACACCTGGCCAATCTTCATAAAGCGTTGGGGATTATCCAACCCCAAATCTGGCTTTGGAAGATGAAGCCTCAGGTGTGAGCTGGTGGGGAGAGGGCAGTGGCCATGTAAGCCCGTTATTCTGCTTCTTGGTCTTCTGGGGGAGGTGAAAGGCAGACAGCCCTAAGTGTGAGATTCAGGTCTACTATTTATTAACTGTGTGATCTTGGGAGCTTTTCTTAAATATGTGAAGCCTCAGTTTTCTTACCTGTAAAGAAAAAGGATAGAAGTATTATATAGCAGTTGTGAGAATTAATGAGAATAAATGGTAGCTATTATTAATATTTATTTATGATTACTATTTATTATTTCTCTCCCATGAGCTTTTTGACCTGAAAAGGGAGGGTATCATTTGGAGAGAAACTTACAGGAAACAATATTTGTGAGAGAAGGAAGAGAATAGTAGCTAATAACGAAAATGAAAAAAGTGGTCAGTGATGCATTTTAATGACAACTTTGCCACTAGAATCTTTACAAGCTACTCCTAAATTCTCTAATTCTCTGAAGGGGGGTAAAATTCAGACAAATTTCATGTTGTCTCACTGAAGCCTGTGTCATCATCTCTTAGGAAATGGCTCATAAGGCTTGGCATAGTTCACCAAATTGGCATCTTCTGGTATTCGGGGGTGACGGAGTTGGGGAGAGGGAGGAGTGGCAGAGGGTGGCCTTTCGGAGTCTCTAGGGAGCCATGTTGGCGGTGATCTGCCCCTTCTTTGAAGTCAGTTCTGTTGTCAGCGTCTGACTATGGTTTTAAATCCTGCCCATGATCAGGAGGCATGTCACGTGTGTGAGAAGAGGCCAGAGGGGTGGCACTCCCCATCTTGTTGCCATCCTTGGTGTCCTGGGTATTCCCTGTTGGTCCTTTTACCTAATTTTCTACCTTTTTCTACCCCTCTGGGTTCTGGGAGGCTGACCTCTAAATTTTATATATGAGCTACCTCTTTTAAAAGCGAGGGTCAGAAGGGGGTATGATATGCTTCTCTTTGTGTAAAAATGAATACACATACATGTACATACACATATACGTGTATGACATGTACACTTGTTGCAAACATTATCTTGCAATAATGTTAATGTTTGTTTCTGGGGAGGATGGGAGAATTTAGTAATCTGGGCTAGAAGGGAGACTTACATATAAATATGTATGTATCTCATGATACCTTATGACTGTTTTATGTGCAAGCATTTATTTCTCCATTAAAAATATTGAAAGAGTTGAGAGGGCATATAGCTATTTCAGGGTTCCTAGTCAATGAAGGCTTTCACATATAATCACAGAATCTGCACTGCCATCCCTTCCTTCCGCCCCTAAGTAAACTGCTTCCCTTCCTTAGATCAAGCATTGCAGCCTCTTCCAGAATGTCCCCACCGCAGGCAGAGTGACACTGGAGGTGGGTGGCCAATGAGTGGGGCCTGGCCCAGCCCCCAGCAGGCCTGGCCCTGGGTGTGTGTGTCCTGTTGGTAGGGCAGAGTGATGCACCACACAGCCGCAGTTCTGAAATCTTCTCTGCTGAGTATCAAAGAGGTGAGGAAGACAGTAAGGCCCTCCTCAGAAGCTGGCACTTCCCCATAAGATGAGGTCCCTTGCTTTGATGATTTAACTGCAAGAGTATTGTTTTGTCAGCACAATAGTTATTGAGCAAATGCAAAAATAATAAATGAAAATGAGCAAAATGTAGAAATGAGCATTTTATATAAACACATGCATACTCACTGACCAGAGGATAATGGAGAAGGCCTGTCCCGGGGGAGGGGAAGTTACTGTTCCTCTGAGATTAGAGATGCTTCTCCCGACTAATGTCAACATTTCAGGAAGAAAGGATGATGATGAGGAGTCATCTATTTACTCATTCAACAAACTTTTATGGAGTACCTACTATGTGTAAACACTGTGCTGGGTGAAAAAGATGAAGGCATCTAAGAGGCTTTTGCGGGCTGTCTTGGAAAACTGAGCCCCACAATGATGTGAACAGCTTGGCTCAGAGCAGGTTTACTTGAAAGATTCATGAACTTCAAACTCACTGACAGATTTGACCTCGACTTGATTCCAGAGACATGTGGTGCCAATGAATTTGATTTTAGGATGAGCCTATTATTCCTTTAACTTTGTGCTTCTATTATTCTTTCAACTTTTTGTGCAACCAAGCTCCCCCTCCCCTAACCTAGCTCCAGTGCTCTGAAAACTAGGTGAGATGTTCTATTGATGAAATCAAATAAATAGCCCTCCTCCATTTCCCTCTTTCAAAGGAAAATCAAGCCAGCTGACAGAGTTTTCTTAACTTGAAGTTTCTCCTCCCTTAAAGGTTTCTTGAACCCTTATCACCAGCTTATTCATTCTTTGCTTATTCAATTTAGATTTTTAAAAATAACACAATGGCTTTCTGATTTGGCAGGAATTTAAATACTAATTTTATCTATGCAATGAAAAGATTGGGCTGCTCATTCAGGGATCTTCAGAGTTTCCTTTAGCACCAGCACACCATGCTCTGCATCAGGGTCTGTTGACGATGTGATATTTGCCTAGACTGTTGGGCCTCTGCTGGAAGTTAAGGCAATCCTGGCCAGGAACTCTCTGACCCAAGACCCTGCCTCATATTGACCTTTCATCTGAGACTAGGAGCAACTCCAAGTTGGAGGAGACTGAAGTTCAACTTTTCTGTATCTTACGTTCTCTTAATTCACAATTGCATGTGGCAGCCCATGATATTAAAAGGACAGCTCTGCCAGAAAGTTCTTCTTTTGTGTTGCACTTATTAGTGAAAGTCCAGCTGCTTCCAATATCAGGTGTTATTGGCAGGATCCTACTCTCTCCCCCTTGATTTTCCACAGAAGGATTAGAAAAAATGACAGAGGAGTCCTTTATATTGGGCTTTCAAATGAACTTGGGAACTTCCTTATAGATGAGAGAGTTGCTGCAGGAACCCACATCTATCAAGATAATGAAGCTGTACAGTGAAGGTCAGCTTGAGGCAGAAGAGGACAGCTGGGCTTGAGTTTTGCTTACTAAGTCCCCTAACTGTTCTAGGAAGAGGTGACTGATCTCTAAAACTATCAGTAAAACTCTTCCAGGCCGGGTGCGGTGGCTCAAGCCTGTAATCCCAGCACTTTGGGAGGCCGAGGCACGTGGATCACAAGGTCAAGAGATCGAGACAATCCTGGTCAACATAGTGAAACCCCATCTCTACTAAAAATACAAAAAAATTAGCTGGGCATGGTGGCACGTGCCTGTAATCCCAGCTACTCAGGAGGCTGAGGCAGGAGAATTGCCTGAACCCCGGAGGCGGAGGTTATGGTGAGCTGAGATTGCACCATTGCACTCCAGCCTGGGTAACAAGAGCGAAACTCTGTCTCAAACAAACAAACAAACAAACAAACAAACAAACAAAAAAACTCTTCCAGCTGCAGATGTATAGTTAAATTTTGATGTATAGTTAAACTTTTCCAATAAATAATAACAACTATAGCACCAGCTAATATCTACTGAGATCTCACATTGGAACCTGACACTTTGACATTATATATGAATAATTGGAGGGCTTGCTAGAGTGCTATTAATAAACTTAAAAGTAAAAGAGGGAGAGAGACTGTGAGAGACGAGAGAGAAGTGAAAATGCACATGCTAAGTCACAGGCCTTTTCTGCCTTCTCAATCCTATATTAGAAAATCCTTTTGAAAAAAAATTTTCCTGAATTTTGTTTCTGGAACAATAATGATCTCACTGGTGGCAATAACACTGGAATGAGTTGTTCATCATTCTCTTCACTCTGGATGTCAACATTCACCGAGAACTTGGTCTAACGTCAGATTTTGAGACTGTTTCAACTGTTTCCAGTGTGGTGTGTCTGTGAGAATGAGTAAGAACGCCTCCACCAAGAGTGAGGCAGGGGAACCACAGCCAGCCCAGCAGATGCTGGCGGGGATTTGCTGTTGGCTAGGGGAAAAACAGTGCCTGGTCTAGCAGTGGTGAGTTCACCGCACTAGAAATTCTAAGAATATATTATCACATAGAAACAACCTTACAGAAGGTGAGTTAGCTTTCAGACTAACCTATAAAGCACATTGAGCATCCACCAGAAATGGTATTTTAGTGCCACAGAGTCAGCCTCTGTAGCCGTGTTAAGGGATGTTGCTTTGTGCTGTGCAGTGTGCCCGTGTGCACACGTGTTTGAATGTATAAAGTGTCATTCAGTTAAAATAACAAAGTAATTAATGGTAAACAGTAATGCAAAGATAACAACACCATATTTTGGGAATAGCCTGGGTTAACCAGGCAAATATTTGTTGATAAGTTGAATGGCTACCCTTTACTGTGGCAGAGAGACAAGCTGGCCCTGAGGAGGCAGTAAGTGCTTGGCGTATTTACGTATGTTATCCCCATTTAATCCTCATCTAATTGCAAAAATCTCTGTGAAGAAGGTAGAGTGGAGTTATATGTAGGCTTAGATTCTAAATTCAATAAATAAAGTGAAAATTATATAGACTCCAAATTTGCTTTGAAAATCTGAATCACATATAAAGATATACGTGTTTTATTACAACCCTGAAGAGTAATAAGTTGTATGCTACATATAGTAATATGTCCTATAGTATAGGGTTCCTATGAAATATCGTTTTAGAGATAAAGTTGCTGGGCTTATTTGTAGAGGGTCAAATATAAAAATAAATATTAAAAATGTCTTAACTAAATATGTAGATCGAGTCCACATATTTTAATTTGCTCAAGTATATACTCCACTGTAATTTTATCCCACATTTACCAATGAAGAAACCAAACTCAGAGTAGTCAAGTAACTTGTTTAGGAGAGACAGCTAGTAAACCTGGACTTTGGTTTAGAGTTTGGACTTAGATTTTACTGACTCCAAAGCCTACATCCCTATCTTCCTAAATGTATTTTGACTTCTAAGTCATTGTCCGGCAAATGACACTTGGAAGATTACTTAAAGTTAGGATTTGCCTGTATTTATACATAATATGGTAGACATAATATCTGCATACACACAAGCATGTGGCCATGTGACTAGTACATACATACTAGAAATTCACAAACCTGGAATATAGGTGTTGAATGAAATCAATTCAAATGGACAAAATAAGAAATCCACGGGAACACTAATCAAGCAGTTTTCTCTTAGCACTCAGTGCATATTGTCAATATACATCATGTTACTATGCGTGTTAATATCTTTCATTTGACACATGAAATTACTGAGGCTGAGTGAGTGCAGTGGTTCACACTTGTAATCCAGCACTTTGGGAGACTGAGGCGGGCCGGTCACCTGAGATAAGGAGTTTGAGACCAGCCTGGCCAACGTGATGAAACCCTGTCTCTATCAAAAATACAAAAATTAGTTGGAGGTGGTGGCAGATGCCTATAATCCCAGCTACCAGGGAGGCTGAGGCAGGAGAAGTGCTTGAACCCGGGAGGTGGAGGTTGCAGTGAGCTGAGATCATGCCATTGCACTTCAGTCTGGGCAACAGAACGAGACTCGGTCTCAAAAAAAAGAAAAAAAGAAAAAAAAATGACTGAGGCTAAAAAATGGACATGGTACAAACATAGAAGGCACTGATTCATCTAAGGTATGGTTGTCCTACGCTTAAAATTCTGAGCATTTCAGATATATACATTATTCATCTATTCATCCATCCATCCATCCATCCATCCATCCATCCATCCTGTAGATATACCATGTGCCAACCATCATACCCAGAATTTTTATATTAAAAATAGAAAACATACACTTCAGCAGTTTGCAAATCTATACTGGTTAGTTCTAAAGTATCAGAAATTATTCTTATTGAGTAAAAAGTTAGAAATATATATCCTACTATAAGACTTTTGTAATGTGTTATTTTGCATTATAGGTCTGTTATGAATTGTTATCTTTTCATTAGCAGAACTTGCCTGAATTATTAATATGTGTCTTGGCTTTTTCAACTGGTACATTTCTGCAAATGAATACAATGACATTTTTTTGAAATAAAGATGAGTCAGACTTTTCATTAATTGGGGCAGAACTTTACCCCCTGTGCCAATAATTGATGAGGTTTTGTTTATATTTTATTTATAACCAACAAAGGCCAAAGCTTTGCATTCTCTGGCATTCTTCTTTAATTGCAAAGCATGCTGACCCAGGGTCAGAAATTGCAGGGCTGAGCACAACTCACAGCCAGACATTCAGGTGTGCTGTGAATCGTATGGATGCTAGAAGTGAAGCCATCCTCGTTACCTGTGGTATTGAAGCCAAACAGGAGAGGGCAGGACACAGCAAAGGCCAGTACCCAGACGGCCGTGATCATGAGGGCCACACGCCGACAGGAGCTCTGTCCCGTGCCATGCTGGTAGTGAACAGGCAGGACCACTGCAGTGTACCTGAAAAAGCAAGGCGAGAGGGAATAGGTATGGTGAGATGGAACGGAGTACTTCTCTCTTTTTTTTTTTTTTGGAGACAGGGTCTCACTCTGTTGCCCAGGCCGAAGTGCAGTTGTGTGCTCACTGTTCACTGCAACTCAACTCCTGGGATCAGAGCCTCCTATCTCAGCTTCCCAAGTATCTAGGATTCTATGCCTGTGCCACCACGCCTGGCTAATTATTTTATTTTATTTTATTTGTAGAGATAGGGTCTTACTTTGTTGCCCAGGCTGGTCTCAAACTCTTGGGCTCAAGCGACTCTCTGGCCTCCGCCTCCCAAAGTGTTGGGATTACAGGCATGAGCCACCAAATCTAGTGAGGGGAACTTTTCAAAAGACCAGATGAAAAAGAAGTTAGTAGAGAAATAATCAGGTTGATACATATGGCATGAGAAATATAATTTAGCTAGAGGAAGAGAGAAAAGCAGAAAGGTTGAGATAATATAAATGAAGAACTTATTGAGGGAGATGAACAGAGAAAGAGAAAAATAAAAAGATTAACACAGCGCCACTGCGTTGCTGGAGAGCTGCTTTCCCGGTTCTGCCTGATCGCCCAGCATAACCAGCCCTACCGTCACACATCCTTCACTTTCAACACTCTGGGTGCTGGTCTGTGAGCCTTCACTGTCTCCCGCAGGTTTTCGGGCAATGATAGAACAGTACCTAAAGAGGATGTTTACCCTCTGCTGTGTCCTAATACAAATTATAACCTTCATGGTGACAGCTCCTTGAAGCAGTAGATGTTTTAAAAATATAAATGAGAAATGTCCAATGGAGGCTTATTTTAAAATCCAATTTTCATTCTTTTTCATGATCAAAGAAAGCCCAGTTCCTTACTATGATTGGAACAACCACTATGGTTGTGGCTTTTTTGGTGACCATTCCTCACATGCATTTCCAGCTGCCTGTAGGACTTAGCTGGACAACAGTCATCTCAAACTCAAGATGTCTAAAACAGATTTCCCCAACTCCCCAAACCTCTTAATCTGATTCCATGTTTTGCCTTTCTTCAAGACATCCAGACCCAATACTCAGTCCTTTTAACTCTCCCTGGATCCTTTCATATAATTTGCTCACTTATTTATTTAACCTTTATTCAATATTTATTGAGTCTCAACTATATGCCAGGCCCAATTCCAGATATTCAGAGGTGTGCAAAAGACACATCGTCCCTGTTCTCTTTGAGCTTAGAGTCGAGTGGAGTGAATGGACAATAAAAAAGGAAACAAATATATTAATATAAAAGGAAGACTATCATGAAAGAAAATAAGCTGGGTGAAGTGATAGAGAACCAGGGAGGAGGTAAAACTAACACAGAATGGGCAGGGAAGTGAGTGGCACGAGAGAGGGCCAGCCACGAGGTCAGACGGGGGAGGAACATTCCAGGTCCTGTAAATTGATCCATTGCATATCTTCCCTATTTATTTATCCACCTATCCCTTTCCTGCTACCTGATTTCTGCTATGGCTACGGTCTCCTCGTTGAGCTCCTGCTGCGAGGTTTCAAAAATAAATTTCATCATGTCTCCTCATCTCCCCAGCTGAAAATGATCTGAGATAGGCAGGACTCTAGAATAGCCCCAAGATTTCTGCCTTGTATAATCCCTTCCGTTGAGTGTAGGCTGAATCTGTGACTATAATGTAACATCACTCCTGTGACTTGATTACGGATCAGTTGTGGCTGAGCTAATCAAAAGGGAGATTATCTTGACCGGGTCTGACCTAATTAGGTGAGGCCTCAAAGGGGACTGAGAAATTATCCTCTTGGCCTTGAAGGAGCAAACTGCCGTGTTTTGGAGAGGGTCATTTTTAAGGAGATGGCAAAAGGCTTACAGGAGCTGAGAATTGCATTGGTTGACAGCCAGCTAGAAAGCAGGGGCCTCAGTCCTGCAACTGCAAGGAACTGAATACTCCTAACAACCTGAATGAGTGTGGAAAAGGATCCCAAGCTCTAGATGAGAACACAACCCAGTCTACACCTTGATTTCAGCCCTTTGAGATCCTGAGAAGAGAACCTACCTACACTGTGCACAGGGTTCTGACCTACAGACTCTGCAAGATAAAAATGGGTACAGTTCAAGCTTCTAAATATGTGATAATGTGTTCCACAGCAATAGAAAATGAATACACTGTTGATGGCTCCTCTTTCACCCATAAACCAAGCTCAGCCTTTTCCAACATGACCTCAACTTATGTTGCCAATCTGACCTCCCACTCATAGCTCCAGCCAAACTGGCCTGGTGATGAGCACTCTTCAATAGTCAGAGACTGGTGTCTTTGTTCAATTAATCGTTCCTTCTCCCTCCCTGGGCAACTCAGTCTTGCCCTCCTTTAATCTCAGGCAAACTCTCTAGCAACCTTCCTAGTCCTTTCCATCATACAGAGACCTCTAACTAACTATGAACTCTTAGCACTTCTATGCAAATCAATTACGGTGTGCCTTCCTGCATGCAGCTGTCTTGCTCCATGATTGAATTTGCCTCATGGCTGGAGAGAGCCCCATATGATTTAAGTTACTTGAGGATCAAATCATCTTACAACCTTGATATTCTTAATAGATCTCTGTACAAAGAAAGTAATAAGGAACTGTTAACTGACTGCCTCATCGATCATGAAGGCCTTCTTTCCCATAAGAGGGGAAGGCCTCCTTCCCTTCTAATCCTGGCCAGGCTTAGTGATCTAAGGTATATAGCTGGATCTACCTATGGCTCAACATTTTTTGTCTTATCAGTTTCCAGGGAACCTGGAGCCTCCTTAACCTTTGTGTACCTCAAGGTCTGGGATTAAGGAAAGGAAGCACAGATGCTGGGCTAGAGGGCAAGGCTTCCTGATGCTCCTCCTGTGTGTGCCCTGCTCTTTCGGGCCAGCACTCTCTGAATCTGCCTCGTGTGCATCTTGTTATAGAGTGGTAACATTTGTATTCCCCAAAGAGCAGATGACCGTCAGCTGTGAGTTCTGAGATGACGGTAAACTGTGCAGGACTTGGCCTGGACACCACGATGTACAACAAAGGTGGCTTCTTTCTCAAAAGGGAAAAACTGAATAAGGTCAAATTAAGATCCTGCCACCCACTCCTCAGGAGGCTACAACAACCTAGTTCCCTTCATCTGATGCAAGTCCTTGCTTGAATCCCCTCCTTGGTTGATATAAGAGCAGGTCAAGTAGCAGCTGGTGTTTCTCCAGGCCTCTGACTCTCCTCAGGGCTTTAGACCCTGCTGCGCTTCCAATCCAGTATGTCTACAAGGGCCTCGCTGCCAGTGGTAGCTACGGGAACCTTGGAGGAGGGGTTGAGCCTTGAGTCCTGCTGCTGCCATGACCCAACCGCGAGGAGAAGATATGTGGTAACTCACTTTCTCCAGGCCTGCCACTTGCAGAATGTCCTGTGACGCGAAAGAGACTTACCCTCCTGTGTATTTAGTGGGGTGCTGGTAAATGGCTAACAATAGGCTCCACAGCTTTAAAAAAGCCCTAATTTGTAATATTTGCCAATTTCTGTGGTGTAAATGCTCCCGCCATGGCCTATTTTAAGCGACCACCAAAGCTTTAATAACCGACTCAAAAAGTTTCTAACATTTTGTCAGTCAGCTCTCACTGGCCGTGATAAGCTGGCTTCAGCAGACTACTGAGAGCTGTATACTTTTAAAATATGCTATAATGTTCAGCAACTCCTTGGAGGCTCCATTAATGAAGTGAGTCAGCAAGTGTAGGAAACGCTGGCTCTTCCCATAAAGAAGAAACTCAAGGATGTTAATTATGAACGCAAGGTTCTGCAGCAAATTGTGGCAGAGCCAGGTCTCCCACCTCTGAGGTGTGTTTCTCCTGAGTGCCCTCCTCCCTCTCAAGGGCATCGCCACGTCTCTGAGTTCTTGTGGGGGACAAGGGCTTTCTCAGCGCAGTCAGCATGGCAAGGGTGGTTTGCGCTTGCAAAGCTCTGCGAGGCCCCACAGCTGAGTCTCCTCAATTAGCTCGTTTCTGTTAATTGCCAGGGGGGTCCTGTTAAAATGCAGAATATCAGGCTCAGTTTCTGAAGATTGTGGTTTAGTACTTCTGAAGTAGAACCCAGAAATGTGTATTTTTGTTTCTTCTTTTTAAAAATTATTTAATTTTACTTTTCTATAAGTTATTGGGGTACATACAGGTAGTATTTGGTTACACGAGTAAGTTCTTTATGGTGATTCGTGAGATCCTGGTGCCCCCATCACGGGAGCAGTATACACTGTACCACATTTGCAGTCTTTTATTCCTCGCCCTCCCCGCCCCCCAACTTTTTCCCCCGAGTCCTTAAAGTCCATGGTGTCATTCTTATGCCTTTGCATCCTCATAGCTTAGCTCTCACATATCAGTGAGAAGGGAAATGTGTATTTTTAACAAGCAAGCACACCTTATGATTAGACAGGATTTGAGAAAGTCTGCATTTGGGGAAATTTTGTGACAAAGGTTTTTTGTTCACGTGGATAAGAAGTGAGAGACAAGACTACATTTTAACACTGTTACATTAATTTTTTTTCTTACTCTTTTTTAAACATGATTAAACTGTTAGAATAAATGAGGTCCCCCGCTTTCCTAAGCTGACTGCGACATCGAGGCTGTCCCGGAATTGGCCATCGGAGGGCACTATAATGCAGCAAGAACTCTGCCAGCTCGGCTGGGGTGAGAAGTTCACGGCTCACCTGGGGGCTCTCCAGGCTCTGTGGGGAGGGAAGAGGGAAAGCCCCGCGCCCAGGTTCCTGGGGCCCTGCAGGGACCCTGCATTCCCACCCCAGCCGACCGCTTAACCTCTGATTTCCTCTCGGAGCGATTGCACGTGACCGACCGCGGGCGAGGGCCCCGCCAAAGCACCCGGAGGGCTGGGCTGGGCTTGGCCGTGAGAAAGAGAGAGGCTTGGCCCAGGGCCGCCTCTGAACATCTGGCCGCTGCGCTCACCGCGGTACTCCAGGGCCCGGACCCGCCAGCCTCGCACTGT